GCTTGCGGTTCATTTAACGCAATGTGGCTACCTGATATTTTATAAAACTGTCCATCGATGTGTGGAGGGTTGAATTAGTTGCGGTCGCAGTGACCGCATTGGCCACCGACATTTCACCAACAACGTTCACGATTTTTTTCAACTCTCATGTTACGCAAAGGATGCTCCCGGCATTCGTTTGATCATTGATAATCTATCGTATCACATTACGCGGCAGATGTGATTTCTTCCTTTACCGATTCCCTCATAAACTGAATTTAAATACACGTGGAAACAATAATGATTATTATTTCAGCAGTAGCGCATATCCTTTTTTATATAGAAAGAATTCTGCTGAAGTATCTAAAAATTTAAGTAGGTACAAATTTGAAAATATAACTCTGTATATAATTAACTCTGCATATAACTATTAAAATATATAACTATTAAAATAAACTCTGTATATAACTATTAAAATATAACTATTAAAATAATCTGACAGGAGATGAAAAAGCCTATGTAAGCCGTCACATGTTGGTGTGTGACTCCTTTCTTTATTAATAGTTTAATTCAGACGTTTCGATCCTCGATTTGGATCCTCTTCGATATATAGATAAAAGTCAATATAAAATTGGAAAGAAAACTTACATTGGCTTTTTCATCCCCTCTCAGATTTATTCTTTGGAGCCTTCACATCATTTCATTATTAAAATAATTATGAAAAGGTATAATAAAATAATTATGAAAAAACGAGAGCTAAAAAACGAGAATTTAAATATAACACGAACACGATACTGTTGCCACAGATCTGGAAAACCGGGAAAAGTCAAGGGAAAATGTAAAAAAGTCTGGAATTTTGAAATTTGCTCACAATTTCCTTAAATTACTCCTATTCCAGATAATTGTTATAATTTTTTAATATTATATCTGACGTTTATAGTGGAATACGTTTAAAACTCGCACGCTTTAAACGATTTTAATAAAATAATTAAAATTCATATTTTATACAATATTTTTATTTGATCGTAATTGCATTTTTTTCCAATACTATATAATTTATTTTTTGTTAGCTTGAATTTGCATCAAAAATTTCTGTATGCTACTAATCTTTTTTACATTGTTTTTAATAATATATAGGCTAGTTTTCTTACAATTCTTGATTTTAAATGTGTCAAAATTTACATGTTTTATATTAGAAAATTTTCCATTTTCATCTGGAAAAATCAGGGAATTTTAAAATTTATTTTCTATTATTTCAGGCAACTCTGAAAAAGGGTTTTAACATTTTAGCAATCAGCTTTTTTCTATATTTTAACGGCCCAAAAAATTACTTTTAAATCTGTATTTAGTGAAATTTTCAACAAATTGTTCTTCCCATGATATAAGAATATAAAGTATTCTATTCCCAAGGATGCATAGTCGTTTGCAACTACTCTTTGACCAAAATCAAAACGTTACC